AACAATGGAGTTTCATAATGCATCCTCTTTAGATGTTGACCTGAAGCAGGATTGGCTGCTATACAAGAACCGTGAATGCAAATACATTTCAAGCTGAAAAAACAAAACAATTTGCGTAGTAAGTTTCCTCATAAAACACACACCTAGAAATTGCAAAGGTCAGATTGAAATTTCACACTGAACTTGAATTTCCATGAGATTTGTAAAGTCTCGAAGTTGTTAATGACACCGAAGAGCAGGTTTGGGTCCAATCTGTGCCTTCTAGTGCCCAGTGTCTCTCCCAGGGCCTACCTCTGGGACAGATTTATAGGACGAGAACCCCTGGGGTACACCTGTTGCTCTCTCTCTGCTGGTTGTGCAGCCAAATGGGAGAGAACAGAGGATGAAGTTTTGATTCACATTTGGATATCTCCAAGACACAGGGAGGCAGCATTTAACCCTGCTGTGGCCCACAAACCATAGGAATTAATGCCTTGGCTCAAGCTGTGGAACTAGCTGGCTGCTGCCCAACCCCCTGGCTGCAGAAGCCTCTTCCAGAACCTCGCTCATTCAGTACTAAAGTAGCCAAGGCCAACTGACCTTTAAAAGAGCCACTGTGACGTCCTGAACTTGTTTCTTTGCTTTTCACTTGTGTTGACTTGAGTCTGCTGCAGTATAATAAAATTTAACAGAAGGGAGAATTTCTATTTATCACATTTCATTCAATCCCTGTTTCTCATTCCCTCTGAACAAGGAAATTTTTCCCATTTAAATTTCCATAAAATGAATTGTTATGAATCACAAACACCTAAGTAAATTTACTCTTTTGAGAGGTCAGCTTTCTCGTATGGTTAAAGAATGTTATTGGTAGGATAGCTTCTCCAGTACTGGACGTTACCTAAAGGACTGTGTGTGGAGAGGTGAAGGAGAGAGCAAATCGGAAGACCCTGGGTTGCTTTGGGGGCTGCCCTTTGCCATTCGGGGGGTTTAACAGGGTGTTTCAGGGCATGATGGTTTCTGGTGTTGAAGAGTCTTAAAGGGGAAACCTGGACCAGATTAAAACATTGTGGACTCTCAGCTGAAAGCCCCACGGAGCTGGGTCTTCCCGCTGGGAAACCGCACAGGCTGCCTTAGTCAGGGGAACAGCAGGCTTGCAAGAATGAGTACAAATGAACAGTCGGTCACCCCCAGCCCTATATATCTCATTCTCAACATCACCCGTACATAGAGGCTACCCCAAGACTTTTTTTTCCCACTTCCCAACTTTCCAGTCTTTCCTGGCTTTCCCCCAAGCCCAGCAGAGTAAACTTTTTGTTTCTTTCCTCTCCTTTCCCGGGCTCAGTGCCTTACTGTTCAGAGCAACTTAGCCTGGCGTTCTTCTTTCAAAACTTCTATTTTACTACCTAGATCCAAGGGGCACTCTGGACTTGGGCGCAGGAGTTGCTGGGACTGGAAGTTGGGGAGTTAGGTTGAAGATGGGCTTTACTCTTAAGGGAACTGTGAGTTGGTGCTGGAGTGACTACCAGCTTAGACCTGGGGGACAGGCGGGGACGAGTGGCTCTGGGGTATGCATACCCTGATATTGTATATTCTTTGGTTTCCTGTCTTCTCCCCCACTACAGAGCACAGGAACTGCTTATTTTGTTCATTTCTGTATCCATAATCATAAGAACAATGTCTGGCATTTACTAGGCACTCAATAATACTGACTGAATGAATTTAGTGGGCATTTACTTTGTTATAGGTGCTGGAAGAGACAAGCAGTGCCAGCATGTTGCAAATGGAAAAACTAAGGCAAAAAGTGATTTTTTTCTCAGTGCTATTCAAAATGGGAACAGTTTCTGGATTTCCAGATATCCAGCTTTTGTCTACAACAGTTTGTTTCAGAGTATAACTACTCTCGACTTGACTTTCTCTGTCCTTTTGTAAGGAAAGAGCTTTTCTAAGAAAAGGACTTCTTCTAAGTTGGCTCCTTTTGTAAGCACTGGTTTCTCTCTGCTTCATTTTGGGAATATGAGCATAGCACCATGAAATCTACCAACTGGTTGCCCAGAAAAGTAGCACTACCTAACTGTATTGGTTTGCTAGGGCTGCCATAACAAAAGTATCACAGAGTGGAGGGCTCAAACAACAGAACTGTATTTTTCTCACAATTCCGGAAGCCAGAAGGCCCAGAGGAAGGTGTTGGCAGGGTTGGTTGCTTCCAAGGTCTTTCTCTTTGGTTTGTAGATGGGCTTCCTCTCCCTGTGTCACCACATGGTTGTCCCTTTGTGCACATCTGTGTCCTGTTCTCCTCTTCTTACAAAGACGCCTATCACTGGGACACCTGGGTGGCTCAGTCATTAAGCATCTGCCTTCGGCTCAGGTCATGATCACAGGGTCCTGGGACCGAGCCCCACATCGGGCTCTCTGCTCAGTGGGGAGCCTGCTTCTCCCTCTGCCTGCCGCTCCCTCTGCTTAGACTCTATCTCTCTCTCTCTGTCTCAAATAAAAATAAAATCTTAAAAAAAAAAAAAGACACCAATCCTATTGGATGAGGACCCAACCTAATGACCTCATTTTAACTTAATTACCTTTTAAAAGACATTGTCTCCTAATGCAATCATATTCTGAGGTACCGGGGGTTAGGACTTCAGTACACAAATTTTAGAATAGGGACCACAATTTAGCCCATAACACTAATCCTGATTTTACAAAATGTAGGGTAATGTAAGAGCCTCTTTTAGAAAAACCCCGTGATGTGGGTGTTGTAACCATTCAGCAAACTGTAGCCGGTTCCCTGCTGTCTCCTGCCTTTGGTGGCTGCCTCTTTCTGTTCTTCTTGGCCCCAGAATGAGACCAGCAAGCTGGTCAGAGCAGGTCACAGGGATCCGGAAATCCAAGAAGAGGGTTTTATACCAAGTAAATAAAAGGAATTATCATCCATCTAAGGTTCATTGTTTAAATTACCATGTTTATTTATGTCAACATAAAATACAGTGAAACAACTTACAAAAAACCCATTTATCTTCATGTAATATAACTCTTCAGTGAACAGAAGTACTACTGTTAATGTTTTGGCCTTTTCAAGGTCCAGCCTTGGGTCAAAACGGTATTCAAGGAAATAGCAGATTCTTCCCTACCTTCCCCAATATACACACAAAGGAAACTCATATTTTCTAGAATCCCATTCTAGTAATAATAAAAAAATATCATGTGTAGAGGTGAATACCACTGTTGTGTCATTACTATCGCAACTTCCTTGTTGCTGTAGATTTTCCCCAGACCCGGGGCTTCAGTCAGGAACACAGGGCGTACCTCTGCCATTCAGGTGTCTAACGTGATTGTTTAGTAATTCTTTTAGTATAGCTGTGTATTCCCCAAGTGTCTGATTTACCTGAGTTACTTAGAAATAAGAAAAGAAATAAGTCTCCAAGTGATCAAATGTGTACAGATCTATACGGTAGAATTGAAGAAACTTATCCATTGAGTTGGCACAGATTACCTGTGCCAACTCAATGGATACATTTGAAACCTCCATTACATAATGAACTATTCACCTAGTAAAATGTTTCACACTACAATTTACTCAAAGGTAATAAACACTGCACCAAAGTACAAGACCTCACCTCTGCTCCAGTAGTTTAATTGCTATTTTTGTCTCGGGACATTTTCAAACAAATGATAGTTACCACTTAACCAACCAAATCTTTCCATCATTTCATGGACAAAAGACTTACTCTCATACTGTGGAGAGAAGAAATAGCTTGGAGCTGGAAGATTAGATTCTGGACCAGTTCTTCTACTCACTCTCTGAGGCTTAGCTTCCTTTTCAAATAAGAGGACAGTGCTCTGTGAAGCCGTACTAATAGGAAATAATATTCTACAGAGTCCATCTCCTCAATCAACCTATGGATCCTTAATTATCCACATGTAGTTTGCAAGTAAAATCTTACTTTTTAAAGTAAATACATGAATGCATATTGGCCATATTGCACATGAAATGTGCAAGTTAGGTTATATAAATGGAAACATAGAGATAGAAAGCCTATTACTCCTGAGAGACTGTACTCTTGATGTGTTTGCTTTAAAACCATTTAAAATGTTATTCTGTTTAACCCATGTTCCTTTTGCATTACTGGAGCTTTTTTTTTTTTATTAAACTATTTAACCACTTAAAGTAATTTTTAACAAGAAATTAAAACTTTCATATGACATTCCCAGGGTTTAGACGACTATGAAACTAAGTAAAATGGATTGAGAAATATGGGAGAAGTAGTGGTTTGAAAACTCAGGGTCAGGAGGGAAACTGAGTGTAGAAATTTCTTCTTCAGGTAATTAAAAATAATCTAAATAATAGACTAGCTATTTTGCCTTTACTGGTAACTTTCTAATTTATTTTTTTAACTTTCTAATTTAGAAATTACTTCTTCTTCTTATAAAATACTTATTTGTGTACCTGACTTTTAGGTACATGCAAATCCACAGAAATTATTAACACTTACTACATTTGGGACATCTTTAGAAGAATTGCATCCTCTCAGTTGAAGTAAAAGTCAGTATCTCATTTCTCATAGATTTTTAAAAGAATCCACCTTTAGGAAAGGGCAGATTTACTAAAAGTTTAGAATTAATTCGCAAGTGCGATTATTAATGTGAGCATACGGACTTTGTGACTTCGCTGAGACAAAGACTTCAGGTAGCTATATCCCTGCAACAAATGAGATTCTAATCTCAAACATTTTTCAAATGCAAATCAGGCCCCCATGTGTCATTTTGATGATTTTTTGAGGCATTAATACAACAGAGTTAGTATTCCTCAATGATCCCCAAAGTCACCCCTTTGCTAAAGATATTTCTCTCCCTGATTATTTTGAACCTGCCAACACAGTCTCTAACCTTATACAGACAATGACTGATGTCCAAATGACCTATTATTATCTTAAACCAACCTCATTTTGAAGCAACAAAAAAAGAAAAATTAAATAGTGCATTAACATTTCATATCAGTAAAGCAGACTTCTTTCATGCATGAAGTAGTTCTATCCATCTGTGGAAAGGTCCATCTTTTGTTTTTCCTTGTGTTTATAGGTTACATTTTTAAAGGTACTGGTGGAGCCTCTGTAGAGTGGATTGGTTCCCTAAAAAAAAAAAAAAAAAAAAGGTTTGAGTGAAACTTTGTACCTATTATAACATGGTTTTACTTTATTTAAATAATTTCATTGTCCATTACAAACTAGAAGAGAGTCAGGCTCAAGCTTGGAAGCTATTTGAATAATTTTGATTAATCATACTCTTAGCATTTTAAAATTTATACATCTCCATTTAATTTTTTAGTATGTAGAACCAGTGCCTTATATGGAGCATAAAAATCTTACCCTGTTTGGAAACACACTAAATTATGGATAGAAAACAAGACTTTGGCTGTTTTGTTCACTGCGGTTTTACCAGAGTTGAAAGAAGTGCCTAGCCAACAGCAGGCACTCAGTATTTACTGAATGAATAGAATGAACCAATAGGTGGCCCCAAAATGAAATATAAAGTAAAAAACATAAAAAAATGGGAAAAGTGAACTTGTAGAAGCAAACAAAGATGAATGACATAGTATCTGCCTTTAAGAGATGTGTTGCTGGTGGGAGGCATCACACAAGGGCACCAATAATCTTGCTAAAATGAGATCAAAATTCAGGAGAAACACCTAGCTGCTTGGGAGAAGCAAGGAAAGATCCCTAGGACAGTTAACACTGTTCTGGATGGTAAAAGAATGTGGTGGCATTCGCTTACTAGAGAATAGCAGTGTGTGGAGCACAGAGTCATGAGGCACAAGTGTGTGGGCCACAGGGCTCAGGAAGATGTACAGGTTCCAAGGTGGGTTGGGCAAGATGGCATTGCCTTGGGGGTAGTGTAGAGGATTTGTGCCATTGTCTGGATAATTCAGCTGTGCTCCTCAGGTTGTAGATGTGTTTCTAGGAGCCATCACCAGGACAAGAAGGATCAAGTCTCTGTAGGTATTTAAAGAAACAACAAGCTTGATCCTCCAATATCTCTCCTTTGGCTGAATTGCTCCAGGCAGGCTCAAGATGTCTGGGTAAAGAGCAGTTTCTTCCCTTCCACTTTCCAAGGTTGACCACACAGGTGTTGATGTCAGACAGCCGGGTTTCAAACCCAGCCCCACCACATGACCTACTTAAACAGTTCCAAATCGTGGTGTCCTCACCCACAGGAGGCATTACCAAAGTGCCTACCTCATCCATGAAATAACATACTCTTTAGCACAGACCCCGGTACATATCGAGTGCTCAGTAAGTGCTGCCTCTTCTTAGTAGTTCTTATTTATACCTCTTCTTCACATTTGGAATGTCCTTTTCTTTAAGTTTTGGAGGGGGTTAGAAAGATATTTTCCCCCAGAGCTTTCACACTCAACATTTCTTTTTTTTTTATGTTATGTTAATCACCATACATCACATCATTAGTTTTTGATGTAGTGTTCCATGATTCATTGTTTGCATATAACACCCAGTGCTCCATGCAGAACGTGCCCTCTCTAATACCCATCACCAGGCTAACCCATCATTTCTAAGCCCACTTCTGCTTGTGTATGAAGTCTAGGTACCACCAGGTACCTTCCAAATTACTAAATCTTGTATTTGGTCTCCTTATCTCATGAATTGTAGAGATGGCAGCAAGTTCTAGACATAGATTTCAAAACTGCAATTGTATTTGCTTTCCCAGTACATGTCTCTCAGTTCTTGAAAGAACTGAATGAACTGAAAAACATTCCTGGGCATCTTCCCCACTTGTCACTCTTGGATTTGCCGCAGTATCTTTATTGTGAGGAAGAATCACACCTGTGCCTGCTTCTGTGTTGCCCAGAGCCAGTGGCCTGGCCTCTGACTGAGTAACATGTTACCTTTGTTCATGTGCCTTCAGACAGAGATGCTATCTCAGTAATGAGGGCAAACAGAAAAGAGATTCCTTGGTGGTGGGTGATGAGTGAAGGCCAGGTCACCATACTGCTTCTACTCCCGAAGTCAACCTGGATAATTCTGAGGACCCTCCAGTCCTTATTTAGTCCTGCTGCCATAAGAACTTGGAACTTGGAGAGTGAAGGGCAAACTGATGTGGTCTTAGATGCAGGTGGAGTCTCATTTGGAAACAAAAATCATGTATGAATTCTATAAAGTTAAAAAAAAAACTACAAGCTATTAAATTTAAGTTGGTTACAGAAAAAATACTCAATTGAAGAGGAAAAATGGCAAAAATAAGTGCAGGTTGGGGATGACAAGTGAAGCATTGTCTTGAAGGAAGAGGGAGACTTATGGAAGAGAAAAAAATACTCTGAAAGAGTAAACGGGCTGTGAGCAGGGCCAGCTTAGATCTTCATAGGACCAGGAACACTTTTTTGGCCCCTTCCCATATCATGTCAAACATTAAAATGCAGGGCATCTAGGTGGCTCAGTCAGTTGAGTGTCCACCTCCTGGTTTCAGCTCAGGTCAAGATCTCAGGGTTCTGAGATCGAGCCCCGCGTTGGGCTCTAAGCTCAGCACAGAGTCTGCTTGGGATTCTCTCCCCTCTCTGCCCCTCTCCTCATGCTGTCTCTCTCTCTCTCTCTCTCAAATAAATATGTAAATAAGCATATTAAAATACACCCACGTTCTACACTAAGTATAATTTATATGCACTATAAAGGAGGTGACTTAAGTTGCAACTGACATGATGTTATTTTGTAGACATTTAGTTGAATATTAATTTTGATTGTGCAGTTTTCGTTCTGTATTTTGAAGCAACTTTATTCAGATCTATAATATTTGGGGGCATCTCTTGCAAAGCTAGTTGTAGGGCCTGGGCATGCTAATAGGGGGTGATGAATGAAGCAGACCATAGTAGGAGGGTAAGGTGGGACTTTAAGGGTGGAGAAAGAGCACCTATATATTGCTGGGAGGCAGTTGTGTTTCCTGCCCTCAGCTGATGATCAAAACTCAGGAGACTAAGCTCAAAGCAGGTTTTGTTGGCAGGAAAAAGTGTGGCAATGTCTAGTACTGCCTCCTCTAGTGCCATGTGGTGGGGGGGCAACTTCTCGCAGAGGATTTCCAGCTGAGACACAGGCTTGGATCTCCATTTCAGATGAGTCTGAGCTCTTTCCCTATTTAGACAAGTTTCAGTTTCCCCCACTGATCTGAGGTGACCAGGCTGATTTCCCCAGGAGTCCGGGGGTGCTAATTTAGGCTGTAAATTTTGTAAATGCAATGGCAGATTTTTTGGAGCTTGAAAAAGTGGTAATAAGAAAGCTCTCTGTCATGACCCACGGTTCTCTTAATGATTGCCTAACTGCCAAATGCAGACCTGATTTGCTTAGCACAGTACAAAATCAATCCATGACTGTAAGAAATGTCAGACTGAACATTTTTTGCCTCTAGTTAATGACTTGTCATCCTAGAAAAAAATGTCTAATCAAAGATGAATTTAAATATCTTTCCTTTGTGTTTTCATAAAGAATATGGATGGGGAGGTTATTTTAAAAGTATAATAAAAGGTAACCTTTCTTTATGGCTGTGATGAAATGTTTCAAGAGGCAAGAAACAAAGCTCTTTCTTGTCCTGAGCTCTGTCACCTTTGGAGTCCAATGGAGGTCTATGGGTCAGTAGACCCAACTACCCTTACCAACTCTGGAGGTCCCCGGGGTGTGAAGACCAGTCAAATTCAGTTCTTCAAGAAGAAACAGGTTTTTAGATAAAAAATGGAATCAAATTGAGGACCCCAAAAATGGATGCACCGAGTAACATTTTTTTCAATAGTATATATTAGTGAAATTTGAGTTGAATTATTTGAATTAAACCTCTTTTGCATCCAAGTGAATAATTATTACCCAGTTATTATCTAGTCAAGAACATCAAATATTTATTATTCAAGGAAACTCAATATAACAAGGGAGTAATATTTTTCATTTATGATTTTATCTGTTTAATGCGTATTTTTGTTCCATTTTAGATGAAGAAACAGTAAAATTCAGCATTTGAATTTCAGTCATGTTCTACATCCTGAGGGAAAACAATGCATGTTTTGGGGAATTTAACTGTTAATTAAAATGTTATTTTAAAGATATTAATCATTTGTCAGTATTCCCGCTTTTGTATGAGAACATTAAAATGTGCTGGTTAGTAGATACACATCACATCATTGCCCAAGTACTTGTTTGCAGAATACCTGCTTATTATTTCTAGGAGGGTCAAGGCTATGCTTGGAAGAGGCTGCAATTAGGTTTTCAGCTCCACCATGGACCAGTCGTTTGGGAAGTGTCTTAACCTCTCTAGCCTCAGTTTCCTTACATTGAAAATGGGATTATTCAGACTACTTCACAGGACTGGCATTGTTCAACCAACTACTGCCACGTGGTTCTTTGTGCCAACTTAACCATATTCTTTTGCCTGATTGCCCTTTTTGACTATTGCCAGGCATTTGCTTGGCAGCTGGCGAGAGTTAAAAACATCTAGGCCAGGGGATCTGGTGAAGTCAACTGACCCAACACTTTAGCCTCATAATGCTATGTTCTAAGCCACCAAACTAACCTATCAGGTTACATTTGACCTTGTAGGTATGGATATATTATATCTTCATTGCAAATCCAAATTTACTTTCCTAAAGGGTTTTATTTAATTATGAAAAATTCATACATACACAAGAGGAAAGCTGTATAACAAACCTCTCTAGACCCATCACCCAGATTCAACAATTATCAAGATTTTGCCACACTCGCTTCCCTATCCCCCTCTCTTTTGGCTGAAATTTTTCAAAGCAAACCTAATCTTCATTTCCTTTCATTCCAAAATATGGATTTTTCTAGCAAAGTCATCATGCCATTATCTTATCTAACCAAATTAATCATAATTCCTTGCCATCATTCTAATACCCAGTCTATATTATTCTTCTTCCAGTTGTCCAAGAAACGTTCAAATCAGAATCAAAACAAGATCCATGCATTGAATTTCCTTGTTGCATCTAAAGGCATTTTTAATAGGAAGATGAAGTAGATGAAAATTTTCATTGTCCATTGTCCTGCACCATATGTTAGGGGTTACTTCAAAATAACTGCACAAGGTCTAGACATTCCTCATCAAGATAAACTTATCCAAAACAGAAATTCCATTTGCTTTAAGAATTGAAGATATCACTATATACTCAGAGAAAAAAGTGTTAACATGAGTTTATTTGGGCAGATGAACCCAAAGGAACATGGTGTTTTCCTGTATTTTCTCCAGTGAAATCACCCTTTTTCGAACCAGCAATGTAAGATAATGGCTATTAGAGAGCTGGGCACACCATTAGAGATAGAAAGATGAAATTAAAACCATGAAATTGTTTCTATGGCCCTCTAGAAATGTAATTATCTGTCCTGTGGAAAAGAAACACAGAAAATTGGAGTCCTGTTTTGTGTTTGTCTACTGTGAAGAGGAGACACATGAATTATATCTATTGAGTACACATATTTAAAGGTTGACACTTTTTAGGTATTTTTCAGGTAGCTGTTTAAAATTTGTTATTCAGAAGAACTAACTAGATGGCATTTAAAGTCTTCTCAACTTGGCAATGTAACCTATTATAAGTAATGAGTATTTCTATGAAAATTGACACGAACTGCTATACTACTCATGAACATTATTTCATTGGCTATAATACAACTGATTTATGGATGTGTTTAGATACAGCACCTATGCTTTATCAAATGGGGCCTGAATGATCTTCCTGGTGATGAAGATTAAATGTATTTCCTTGATGTCCCTAAGCAGCTATATAAGGAGTTTCATGAGACTCTCAAGAGTGGGAGAAATCCCCACTACGCTGAGAGACAAATGCATGCTCTGAGCACTATCTAGGTCCCAGATAATGGACAGAGGTTCCTTTGTCCTCAAAGCAGAAAATAAATCCATAGCTGTTAGGGACATAGTGAGAGGGGTAGGGAAAGAACATGACATTCTTATTCTCTATTATAGAGCAGAAGAAATCTGACATCTATCTCTTCCACAAGTCACTTTCTCCCCTGGACAAGGAATAGCCCCTAGGGGTTTACATACCGTTTGCCACTTGGCCTTCGACCGTTCTGCTTCAAATTTGGCAACTTCTTTACGATCATGAAATGACACCAGCAGCTTCCAGATGCACAGTAGGACGATCCCAATGAGAAGAATAGCCAGTGAAACCCCCAACATAATCATGGGAATATTTGGGAGCTTTGGACAGTCTGTGGAAACAAAGAAAATTATATTAAGAAGATGGTATAATTGGGGTGTCTGGATGGCTCAGTTGGTTGAGCATCCAGCTCTGGGTCTTAGCTCAGGTCTTGATTTCAGGGTCGTGAGTTCAAGCCCCGGGGCTCCCAGCATGGAGCCTTAAAAACTTAACTTAAAAAAAAAAAAAGAAGATGGTATGATTAATCTTGTGATGTAGAGAAAATATTTCTCATTAAATTTTCCAACCTTATTTTTTTTCCAGTAGAAGGAAAATAGTAACATGTTTTATTTTGCTGAAGTAAAAAAAAATGAGTTACTTGTTGAAGGATAGCCCTATTCCTACAAAAGAGAACAAAAGTTAGAGTTTGGTTATTTAAGGCAAATGGATATATACTTGAATGGCTGACTCAAAAAGAGTTAGAATCCAAGAATGAGGATTAATACACATGGAATATAGAAAGGACCATGAAAAAGACTGCAGTTTAATGACTAAAAACGGTCTCTTCTGGGTACATGATAGAATAGAAATGAAATGTGTGTATGTGTGCTCATTCACACACACGATATTACTTTTTAATGGATTTCCTTGAAACATGAACTGTCTAGGAGATTATATTCAAACTTATATAAAACCTACCCTCCTAAGAAGTTTACTACTTGCTGCTTTTTTTTTTTTTTATAGACAGAACACAATGATGGCTTTTAGTTTTATTTTAACATTAATGCAGTGTTCTGGTGTCCTGGAAAGTTGGGACTGGGGTCCCCCCCAGTGGGTTCAAGTCCCATCTGATATATAGTAGCTGTCTGATATACAACAGGTCCCATGATCTCTCTGAGCCCCAGGATCCTCAACCATTAAACAAAGATGTGGGACTTCAGCATTCCTTTAACTTCCTAAGGATAAGACTGAGCTCAGGTGCTCATGCTTATTAAACTCACAGCTTCCTAGATCCTTCCCCAGAGATTCTGCTTCAGTGGGTCTTAGATGGAGCCACAGATTTTTTTATTATTAACAGTATCCCAAGGGATCCTTACCTTCAGGGAAGTTTGGGAAACTAGATGTTCTGTATAGTCCTTTCAAATTGAACATTCTATGAAATGTTATTTTGACTCTATTGATATTAATATAATTTCACAATTATACAGTGCCTTCCCTCACTGACAGCAGAATGACTAATAAATCTTGCAATATGCCTGGGAGATGATACATTTCTTAATGAAACATTATAATTAAGTTCTCCCCTTTCTTTCATGAGGAAAAAAATCCCACATGAAAATTATCATTAAATATCTGCCTCCCTCTGCAAGAAGTAAGGTAAATCTGTGGTATCTGGGGAGGAAATGAATCATGCTTAGTTTATCCTAACTCTTATTGCTTTTAGATATTTAATAAGGAGAGTTATATACACAGGACTAGTCATGCTGCTTTCAAGGTAAGGATCTATAACTGATCTGAATTTGAGCAGGACTAATGACCCCACAACAGCATGATGGCTGGCCTCACACACTTTTGTTCTTTGGATTAAAAAAGCCATGTAAGGGGATTATGCAGAAATAAGTAAAGGAACTAATGAAGTAGTTACTGTAGTATGAAGATCTAAAGACTGTTTCCAGCATAACAAATGAACCATGGCTGCTTCTAAGAGGTTAGCAACAGTCCTGCAAAAAAGTAGCAGGCGTGTGTCAGTGAGAATATATACTGGCTACATCTTTGACTACAAAATGTCTGGGGTGGGGCGTAGCATGTTCTTGCGGAAAGCAAAATGAAGCCTGCTAAGACCCTGCAGCCAGAATGTGAATTAGGAGGGCTCTCCCATAGAGAATAAATAAAGGAGGAACAGGCAGGCATGGCCTGGCAGAGATCATTTTTTTAGAACTTGGAGTCATTATACATTTATACATTGAGAATACATTATACGTTGCGATAGTCTACAGTTCTCAAGAAAAGATTTTGGCCCAAGTACCAGAGCAGGTATTACACAATAGAAATGCCCACTGTTTATACTCTCTTTAGTATTTCCTGAGACGCTCAGACTGAAGACATGTTTCTAGGTGGGAGAAGAGGGCCGTCGTCATGTTGCCTGTGGAGTCCTGGCCAGGGCCAGCTAGTTCTCAGGTCCTGAGGCCCTGAGCTGCCAATCCGCCAGCTCTGTCACGGGCGGCTATGGAGCGCAGAAATGTGACTTTTCTGAATTAGGTTGTGTGGTAAGTATGAAATACATATTGACTGTGAAGACTTAGTATGGAAAAAAACGAAGCATCTCAATAATTTCTCTGTTGATCATATGCTAAATAACAATATTTTAGATAGAAGGGATTGAATAAAACGTTACTAAAATCCATTTCACCAGATTTTTACTTTTTAGTGGGGTTACTAGAAAATTGAAAATTACATATGTGGTTTGCATAATAACATGTCTATCGCTGCTGATCGAACATGTTTCCGGGAGCCAGGCATTCATCACGATCCGACAGCCAGTGGGAGGCAGTATAGCGCAGTGGTTAAAAGCACAGGCTCCAAGCCCGCCGGGCAGCTTTCCCCGGCCAGCACTGGCACTTAATTACTGCCACAACTAACACAGTTTGTAACTTCTTTTTGCCTCAATTTCCTTATCTGTAAAATGGAAATAATAGCAATACTGGCTTTACGTGGTTGTTATATGGAGGGTGCTAAAAGAATTAATGCATGTAAAACATATAGAATGATACCTGGCATATGGCATTAGTAAGGGCTCAATAAATGAAAGCTACTACTACTACTACCACTATTATTATTACAACTATACTCTTCCTCCTTTTCTATCCTTAGGACTTCAAGGTCCTGGAACCTCCACTTTGGGACCTGTGGTATAATATCCACACCTACACACCTGCCAGGAAACCTCCCGACTGTCATTCCTTGACTCTGGCTCTAACTAATGTGGCTCTTCTCCTCTGAAAACTCTTCCAGGTGTAAGAAAAAAGACGAGCAAAGCTCTCCCTACAACCACACACATCCTGATGGTGACTGTTCACTTGGTTTCTTTTGAAGTTGGTTTGTAGGACCGTGGAAATCCTTAGCCTTCACTTCTTCCTATCCTGGAGTCTGATGGGCTGCCCTGGGATTCTCTGGTCTTAGCGCTCTGAGAAGGGCCTACAGATTCCAGGACAGGCTCTGTCTTCAGGGCCCCTGGAAGCTTGGGGCCTACCTAGGAACAGGAGTATTTGCCAGGGAGAAGCATCCTTGTAACTGTCAGCTGACTCCTCGGGAAGGTAATTTTCCCCTCCCTTTTCCCTACTACAGAAGCATAGAGAGAATAAAAAGCCCTAATAAAAAGTCATCAGGGAGTCTGAGTGCTTTCAGAAGGATGGCCTGTTTATGTGCCACTCAGATTGTATGGAAGCATCAAAACATACAAACAAAAAACAACCAATAGTTCAGTAACAAGGAGGCCCTTATCAGCTAAAAGCATGTTTCTCTCTCTCATGCACACACACACAAAAATAAAAATAAAAAAAGTAAAAACAACCAGATGCAAAAGCCCCTGAATTAAGAACAGTTCTGGAAGTTCATTTTTGTTGTTTGGAACTCATTTTTCCAATGGAATCAGTATCAAAATATGTGGTATTTTTCTAATCATATTTTCTTGGTTGGTTTATAATGTCTTGCACTTACTTTTTGGTTACTTTGGTATTGCTTTGGTTTTTACACTCTTTAGTGATGGCAGTTTGATACTCCTCGCTTTAAATTCAGAACTTAATATTTTATTGGCACATTGATAAGCAAGCACACACAACAAAACACATCTCCCTGCTAGCCTGCCCTTGCTGCTATTGTCTGGGGCAGAACCAGGCTCCAAGCTTTTTGGGGGAGGAGGAGGAGGTTGCTGACAGCATCTGGAGAGATCTGATTTAATGCAGCTGTCATTTCTGCCAGAAAGATTTAGGAACACATCATTAATTGAAGACAGAAAAGAGGCACCTGTGAATATCTAAGAACACAGCCAGGGAGGTCTTTGAAGCTATCTGTAGCAGAGTAGTAGTAAAATGCAAAGTCCTTGGGGCGCCTGGGTGGCTCAGTCGGTTAAGTGTCTGCCTTCGGCTCAGGTCATGATCTCAGGGTCCTGGGTTCCAGCAGGCTTCCTGCTCAGCAGGGAGTGCTGAGGATGCACAGGATGCAGGGGGTGCCTGGGTGGCTCAGTTGTTTAGTGTCTGCATTTGGCTCAGGTCATGATCCCAGGGTCCTGGGATCGAGCCCCACATCGGGCTCCCTGCTCAGCGGGAAGTCTGCTTCTCCCTCTCCCACTACCCCTGCCTGTGTTCCCTCTCTCGCTGTGTCTCTCCCTGTCAAATAAATAAAATCTTAAAAAAAAAAAAAAAGGATGCACAGGATGCAGGCATTTTAACAAGCTCCCCAGGTGAGTCTGATACTAAAATTTAAAACTTCTCAACAAAAGTACATTTTCCACTATTTTCTTTCCTACCTAATATAAATTTCTCTCCCTCCTTCACTAAAGATGAGATTTTTATTTGAGAGCTTCCCAAGTCCCAAGCAAACTCCATGAGTTGGTATGGATGAAAACCCACAGAAGCAATGGACTCTTTGTATGTATAGATCACTTCCTTCCTCACCTGCTCCTTCGTGTCTTTTTTGACTCAATGACCCATTACTGTAGGTTATGAACAGGCACGTGTTTTATATGCATTATTCTATTTAATCCCTGGGTCAACCCTTAGAAGAAGGTACTATTATTTTTCCCATTTTACAGATGAGGAAATAGAGACTCAGAGGCAAGTATCTTCCAGAATGCCAAGCAGCTATTAAGAGGCAGAAGCAGGATTTGAGCCAAGGTTTGCTTGATGCAAATCTCATTCTTTTAGACTGTTATGCTCCCCACTGCTAGCCTTTCCTAAAGATATACCTTCTGCTTATATTGGATTTAATCAGCCCATCTTTCTATAAACCATCAGCCAGCTTTTAAGGTGATGTGTGGTACAAATATATCTTGTTATGTGGGTTAAGGAAGAGACATTCGAACACATCAAACCTTTCAACAGGTATATTTCAATCACTGGGAAAGTAGAAGCACTCTATCAAAGTTCTGGAAACGTCTTTCCTGGAAAGCTACCTCAAATATCTTTCTGGTCGTTTCCTCCTCTCCCATGTACTATCACTTACCATTGACAATGGAAGGCATGCCACCCACCTTTCTCACTGATGCTGTGAATGATGCTTTTCCCTTCATTATCTGTAGTTATTAGGAATGTAATAAGACATTCATTTTCTCCTTGCAGAGAACAGGGAACAGAACCATCCTTTGAAAAATCTGCAGATAAAGGAGTCATTCATTAGATTAAATGAGATTCCAAATGAGATTATTTTTAAAGCAAGGTAGTATTGAGTTTTAATATGCAAATAGGAATTTTCAACACTGCAGAAAAGGAATAGAAAAGACATAGGATTTTTCCCACCCCCTGAAGTTTTAGTTTCTACTTATGTTCCAGAAGAACAATTCCAGGTGTGGTCAATCAGGACTGACCATCAAATGCACTTATGAAACTGATGAGGGGCAGGATTTCAATAGAGTGAAAGTACTTGAAGGCAGGTATGCCTAGTTGTTTTAGGAATAGAATGGCCCTGATTGTGGTAATGAGGGGGCTGTATGTTCCTCTTGGCTGAGAGCATCTGGGAGGAAGCCTAGATTACATTTCAGAAAAAGACTACACAGCCCAAACTGATACTGATACTTCTCAGGGGGCCTTTCCCACAGTCAAGATTGCTGGCCATGTATTGTCACAACAGTAAATATCAATTAATATCAGGAAATGGACATTGAAGTATTATGTACTCAGGGACTAGGAGGATGAAAGTAAACCTCAGATTAAAAGGAACCCAGTTGACAGTTGGCCTACCATTCAGTATAGCCCCTTTGTTAATTAAAAAACAAACAATCCAGTTTTCCTCCGATCTTTTTCAAGTAGAAATGTTTTCTTATTGAGCTTATTCAAGAGACAGAAAATGAATGTCACTACAGGAATCGAAAATATAGTAAAATGGTCAATCTGAGACGTTAATACTATTTATCAGAAGTTTTAGCGGCCTGGTACCTATGCCAGAATTATGTAGCATTTTCCAAATTAAAAAAAAAAAAAAACTTGCTTAAAATTCTCCTATCTTCTAAGTTGGAGACTTTGTAATGATACTGTTACACTTTTTCTGGAAACCAAATTGTTTTTCAGAAACCTATAACTAGAACAACTATTTGCTTTTAACCTAAAATTTTGACATATGATCCAATATTAGCGTATTATGACACAGTGGGTCAGACTGTTGAAACTGGGACTGTCCTAGATAATCTTGGACATACTCTTGCTAGACCGATAACTTTTCTCGTTAGCTTAAAAATAAAACAGTTTTAATAAAACAGAATGTATATGTGCTCCTTTGATTCTAACAAAGAAAAAGTAAATAATATGCTATTTTTTGTTCAACAATGCCATAGCCACAGAAAGAAAAATGTTAAATTTGTTTTTTTTTTTTTTTTGCATTTAATTTATAAGATAAAAACCACATGTCAGGGTCTGTGAGAAGGATGTCTGTACTATCTATGAGAAAAGGGACTAGTAAAACATTTCACATTTTGGATAGGCTTTCAGATGATAGATTTAAGTGAAGAAATTGCTTTTGAATCCATTAGAAGCATCTATTTACCTAGGACTATTAGGAAATCTAATTCTAAATCATTCTCATTTGGTCATTCTGAAATGTTTAGGATCATCTAAATCACCTGGGATTTTTTTTTCCAATAAAGATTCCAGGGACCCTCCTGGGTATCCGATTTGAGAGGGCAGTGGTATGCACAGGAGCTTGTATTTTAGTGAGGTGTTTAATAGTATTTTTAATAAGGTGATCAGATTATGACATCCAGGAACCTCTGGGCAACAGTTGATTAGTGATATTTGTGTTATTTCATGTGTTATGTCATGCAATAACACTGTATATATAACTCATACTTTGGTCATTTTTTAGCTGGTCTTTACCACATGTCCTCCTACCACACTGCTCCAATTAACTAGGATTCATGACGTCTTGGAGAATAATGCCTTTTCTTGTTGGAGAGATTCCACCCACCCCCGGCCATGACAGTGCACACCCACTCTGTTCCTCTCAAGCTTACTTACTGGAACATTTTATTCTCAGGTAGAAAATACACAAATAGCTTATAACACTCCTTTCAGTAATATTAACCCTGCTTTTTTATTTTCTTTTAAATAGCTACACTGAAGTACAGAGAGGCTTAATTTACTTCACCAGGATTATTTAAGTTTTCATGAAACTGTTAATATGACCTTTGAGTCATGACCTTCCTTCTTGCTTTAATTACTTCACCACTCCTTTCCATGACTGTTATGCTCTAGATTTAGCCAGTTTTGTCTTGTTTGGGTATTAAAATGGTATTATTGAATGTGCAATGAAAGGGTCCAGCTTGGGCTGGAGATTTGCGTACTGAGCTGCTAAGGTTTTCTTTTGTTGTTCATTAAGGAATGGACCTTTCTTTTTTACCCTCCTTTATGAGTGCCAGCAATGCTTCCCTAGAATAATATGATGAAAATAAGATCTCAGGCAGTCCATGAAATTATACTTAGAAAAGGAAGAAATGTGAGAAGGGGGGGGGTGGTGAGAAGCCAGCATCTAGGAAGGTCCAGGAAGGATACAGAAATATAAACTATGTGCATGCACCACTGAGTTAAGACAACTATACATTTAAAGATCTGTGCTCTGGGGATGAGTCAGGAGTTCTCAGGGGAACAGTTTCCCAAGGAAAAGAAAGGGTTCTGTGGTCAAGTAAGTTTGGGAATCCTTCCTTACTCTAATTCTTCCTTTTGCCTCTCCTGAAAATTCACAATGCACATTTAATGTAATGTGCATAATTTTTCAGGAGTCCTGTGAAATAAACAAAAAGCTTAGCTTCCCAATTCCCAAACTGATATGGCCATCTAGCACTTTCAGAACTAGTGTCCCATGGAAAACACTCTGAGCAACAATGTTCTGAGTACATGAATGTTGGGGTAAATTAAAAAGTGACTTTCAGCAAAATGGAATGAGTGAAGTTAAACCACATGTCTTTAGAGATGCTCATGCAAGTCTCCACAGCAGTTGAGGAATAATGTCTTTGGATTATAAAGTTATGCTATTTTACTTTACTCTCCATGTCCTTGTTGGGGGAAGGATGAGCTGATAAAAGCCCCTATGCAAGAGCAAATATGTGGTGACAATTTCAAGGTGATGTGATCAATGTCATAACTGGGTGAGTAACTTGAAATAGAACTTATAAAAATCCTCATTGGAGCTGGAGTGGTGGGCGGTGGGAGGGATGGGGTGGCTGGGTGATAAACATTGGGGAGGGTATGTGCTATGGTTGAGTGCTGTGAATTGTGCAAGACTGTTGAATCACAGATCTGTACTTCTGAAACAAATAATGCAATATATGTTAAGAAAAAAAAAAAGAAGATAGCAGGAGGGGAAGAATGAAGGGGAGTAAGTCGGAGGGGGAGATGAACCATGAGAGACGATGGACTCTGAAAAACAAACTGAGGGTTCTAGAGGGGAGGGGGGTGGGGGGATGGGTTAGCCCGGTGATGGGTATTAAAGAGGGCACATTCTGCGTGGAGCACTGGGTGTTATGCACAAACAATGAATCATGGAACACTACATCAAAAACTAATGATGTAATGTATGGTGATTAACATAACAATAAAAAATAAAAAGAATCCTCATTGGAAAAGTGATTTTTTAATTCATAGGCTGACAAATATATTTTTTCTCTCAAATTCAACAAGGTTAGTGCTTTAAATGGTATTAGGAATCCAGTTATTATTTTCAGTTTCTCAGAAATAGTTGTATTCCCCTGTTTTGAAGATAATTTACCCAGTTAACACAAAAAGAATAATGCAAGGGGCGCCTGGGTGGCTCAGTCAGTTAAGCATCTGCCTTCGGCTCAGGTCATGATCCAGGAGTCCTGAGATAGAGCCCCATATCGTGCTCCCTGCTCCACAGGAAGCTGCTTCTCCCTCTGCCTTTGCCTCTCCCCCTGCTCATGCTCTCTCTTTCTCTGTATCTCTGTGTCTCAAATGAATAAATAAAATCTTAAAAAAAATTATGCAAATATTTTGAATGCCCCTTGAAACCTAGTATTCCTCTCAAATCCAAACATTTATGATAATCTATTCAGAAAACTATGTATTTAACTATAGTAACTCTCTGTTCAGGACTTACCATGTTTCCAAGGTTTACTCTTTTTCCCCCCTCAGCACATTGGTTTCCCATGCTGCCTGTGAATGGAGTTCTAGTCATTTGCAGGACATTTTCTGCAATTTTTAGCCATTTCTTAGAAACACTTGGTAAATATCTCAAGTGTTTGCCGTGAAATGAAGCCCGAGGATATGCACTGACTTTGAGCTAGTTACTAATGTGGCCAGTCCACAAATGATACTTTCCTCAGTGATTTTACCGCATCCTGCTTTCAGTATTAGTGTAAGGTACACACCATCTTGCCCAATTTATGGTTATTTGGCATATCTATCTTTAGTCACCAGAAAGGCACAACCAATGGGTCTTATGAGCACTAATCATGTTCCTCCATATGGGGTTATTCAACTGTGCACAGTCAGAAATCTCAATTTTGAAACAATGTACATGATTTTCAAAACAATATAAATGCCACTAACTTATTTCACTTCAGAAATGGATTAATTTCTCTATTCTATTTCTGTCTCTTCAAGACACACATCCTAGAGTGTCATACATTGTCTTGATTATTGCACTTTGCCTGAGATACGTCTTGGTCGCTTCTCTAATGCGTGTAGAGCAGTAGGTCCACCGGAGCTGCCTGAGAATGCAGAGTTTGGGACGCTGGAAAAACAAATCCCCCTAGATTGTCCCTTGAGGAGGAGCTAGTCATCTTCTTCACAAATTATTTTTTAAGTGGGCTTCCCAGCCAAAATACAACTGATTTAAATATTTGAGATGATATTTTGCCATTAAAAAGAATCCGAGTTTAAGTCATTAAATTTTAAAATGACGGTGAAAGAAAGCAAGAGCCGGGTCTGCTTAGCAGTTAAAGGTCACAGGCCCTTCTTGTATTTGGGGGGTGAGCAACGGGGAATTAAGGGTGGTCATGTAACACCCGTGTTTGGAAAGTTGGGAGTAAAAACACACGTAAAGGAGTGGAGGGAAAATGGCCAATAACCAGAAACTGCCTGGTGTCTCAGGCCTGCTCTCTGGAAACCCCTCTTACACTTCACCTTGTCCTATCTTGAAATAAGGCAATAGGATGATAGAGGATGATTTCAGTTTTAGGGGTTAACATTTAGCTATTTTTAAAATTTTCTTCTTGGGACGCCTGGGTGGCTCATTCAGTTAAGCATCTGCCTTCTGCTCAGGTCATGATCCCAGGGTTCTGGGATCAACCCCCATATTGGACTCCTTGCTCAGCAGGGAGCCTGCTTCTCCCTCTGCCTGCCACTCCCCCTGCTTGTGCTCTCTCTCTCTCACTCTCTGATAAATAAATAAATAAAATAAAATTTTTTTTCTTTTTTAATTAAAAAATAGCATTCCGGAGTTCTCCACAATTGCATTTGTTAAGCAAAGGTGAGCTTGCCAACAGAGCAGAAGTCAAATAGAATAGCTATGACTTTAAATTGTTCGTATCCCAAACCATCACGTTTTTAGTCTTATGGGATGCATTTACTCTTAAAAACTAATGTTGAGGGGCACCTGGGTGGCTCAGTCGTTAAGCGTCTGCCTTCGGCTCAGGTCATGATCCCAGGGTCCTGGAATCGAGCCCCGCATCGGGTTCCCTGCTCGGCGGGAAGCCTGCTTCTCCCTCTCCCACTCCCCCTGCTTGTGTTCCTTCTCTTGCTGTGTCTCTCTCTGTCAAATAAATAAATAAAATCTTTAAAAAACAAAACAAAACAAAAAAAACTAATGTTGAACTAGTGCCCTGGTTCAAATGAGGTCGAGCTACTGAAAAGCCCTTCACAGAGTTTCTGCTTCTCAAGAACAATATAAAGAAAAAGAAAGCAATTTAAGACCAGTCTAACCTTCTGCTTCACTGATGGTTGCACCAGCTAGTTTGCATTTGTCAACACATTCTTCTCCGGCCTGGCCATCTGCAGACAGGTGGCATTCAATGCAGCTCCTGTGAACATTATTCAGTAGACTTTATCAGTTCATGTTGGTGGAAAACAGATATGCAGCTGGGATACTGCTTTAATGCTGTTACTGTGATTCGTGCTATAAGAGTGGCTCATAAAGGACGTTGCCTTTTGTTACTTTCAGAAAGATATTTGGGTGATGTTCAAGAGGAAATTGCTTTATTCTGATTCCCCTTAGTAATCAGTGTTTTGTGAGCCAGGCTTGATAATAGTTACTATCCTCAATTATTTATAATGATTGCTTCCGATGGGTTAAATAACAAACAAAATAACCCCAAGAGTAAGACACACTTATTTTGGTATTTGATTTAATTTTTTGGTTCATTTTACCTTCTCATGAGAAAGGTGTATGCTCCTAAAATATGATCAGTGACCAAAGTTTGAATTTCTTAACAGAAATGGGTCTGTATTTTAACAAGAATTCTAAGATTTCATACATGCCATGAATGACTATGTTAAAGATTCACTTGTCTGTAACTATTTTGAATGAGTCTAAGCTGTATAGGGGTATTTTCAAAAGCTGAGGTTACATCTTGGATCCTCATTCATGCAGGGTTTTTTAATAAATGATTGCTACTTACAGAAAGTGTATTTCCAAAAACATAGCCAGGGAATTAAGCTTCTCTAGTGATGTCTACACAGCAAAGTAAAACTCAGACTCTGAATTAATCTTGTGCTGAAAATCACTTTACAACCAGATTCTGCTTGGAGTAACCCCAAACAGCAAAATTTTCTTATGTATCATCCTGCCTCCTATCATCCTGCCTCTTTTCCCCAGGCCATGCAAATGTATACTCTTTTAAGTGCTGGAAACATCCCGCCGCCCCCCCCCCATGCTCCGCCTCCAGGCTTCCACCAATCTCAGCTGAAAGCGCCCTACCCTAGGCAAGCCTTCCCTGACCCTCACCGGTTAGTGGTCTTGCAGTGGAAGCCTCTGTGTTCCTTTGTAGGAAGGGCTGAGGAGGCGAACTCTATGTGGGAGTGGGGATAGAAGTCTTGGCTGGAAATTGCCTTTGCATTGCAAGTATACTGCATTTATCTAGGTTATATATTTACTTAGAGTGGCTTTGCAGGGGACTGCTGGACACTGCGGAAACCCTTAAAACCTCTACCCCCTCGTGCATCTCATTGATGTCTGCCCAAGCTAGTGTCATAGCCCTGCCATACGGGTCCACAGCACCCTCTATATCCCTTATTGTAGCTGTCAGCTCAGATATCATTATAATTACTTTAAATAATGTCTGTTTTTCCCACTAGATTCTTAGCACCTGTAATGGCAGGAACTGTAACTATTTCAGTCATCACTATATGCCCTTGGCCTAACAGGATTTCTGGTGAACAGTAGGTACTTAATATCTATTTGATAAATGAATGTATGAATGAATAAGTGGAAGAATGGATTCATCTCAAAGCTAACATAAACACCAAGGAGATTACCTGATTCCTCAAATTCAAACTACCTTGACTGTTAACTTCATATTTTATAAGCCACATTTTAAATTGAGTCATGTTTACAAAGAAGATTGAATAGATAAATAATGGAAGAAACATCCTGGAAGGACATTTTACATTTAATTCCATTCAAGTAAGTCTAACCATGTCCCCACACTTCTCTTGGCGTATGTCCAGGCACAGCGACAGAGAAATTTTGACACCTGAATGGTGAGGAACCACTGAGTGAATATTGATTTTCTTACTTTGTTTACACTGGAAATGCAAATGTCACCATGTTGGGTATAGAGTTAATGAAACTGCAAACTGCTTAAGCATGTCTGCTGCATAATACATTATATACTGCAATGTCATCACACAGCCCATTTGGAGACTTGCCTCACTTGACCTAGAAATGTTGCCCCCACTTCCATTAAGAAATTAGCTACCAACCAAAGAAATAGTGGTTCACTGTAAAACAAAAAAGTGTTTTGTTGTTGTTGTTCATATGGTAAAAAAGAAAACACGACACACAATAGCTGTGTAGAATGACAACCAAAGAGAGGTGCTAAAGAGCATGAGTGGTAAAGAAGAGGGAAGAAATGGAAAGCCATGATCCTTTTTCTGCCTTTTTGCCTCCACGGGTCTATAGAGAGGAATGAATCAGCAAGGTCAGGCTATACACTTCTAGATAAGGAAGAAGCTTGTCTGTTTCCCCTGAAAAGGCCCTGAATGTGGGTGTCATCCGTCTACCGCCAGAGCGTTCCTTCTGTGTGGCTGGTATTGTAAGTGAAAGGCCATCTGATGTTATCAGTGTGGGACATCAGCTCAGCTTCCCCAGGCTGGTCTCTAGCAGAAATGTGACATTGTGGTCCCGGGTAATCAGGACAAAGAAAGAGGCTAATGAGATACGGACGTTCCAGGCTGATGATCACAGGGGCCTGGTGGGCTTGTGTATTTGGGTGGATGCTCAGAAAACAAACCCACCAAAAGCAACAGGAGGGAAGTTGAGACATTACCGTTTAGAGTTACAGGGATCACCACAGGTAGGGCAACGTTCACAGGTCGGTCCAGAGGCTCCGGGATTCGTGCAAACACACTTGCCACAGATGCAGTCCCCTCGCCCACTGCAGAGCACCCCATCCCCGGAGACGCAGGAGTCCGTGCTGGAGGTGCAGTTACAGTACTCGCCCGCCCAGCCGGGCCTGCACATGCATTCGCCACAGTCACACACGCCGTTATCTGCAAAACAAATGCCCAGTGATGCTTAGGGCCGTGGCCACGGGGGGGGGGGGGGGGGGGGGGGGGGGGGCATCTCCTCCCTTTGCCTTTAAACACTATCAGAAAGACTGAAGAAAAATGAGAAAAAAGTGATTGTGTGGGGAGTAGGGGGAGTGGTGAGCATAGATATATTTTATGGAACGAATTTTGCTAAGTGTGTATATTTATTGATCTGGTCTCTTAACTGAAGACCAATCTGATTACCTGATGTTATATCAAAAAGAACTTATAGCCAGATGAAATGAGATAATCTAGAAGCCTATACTAGCAACTTGGGGTGTGTGTGTGATTATGTGTATGTGTGTGTGTATTTAAATTGTTTTTACAATTTTTTTTTTTTTTTGCTTTTAATTAAGGTGCCATAAGATAGAGATGCAGCACAGACCTGGCTAATGCCTCACCTCTACATCATTCAAGCCGAGTGATCATAAAAGCCTCATCTATCAAATAGAGGGAATAAAATCTCACAGCAGTTGTGGTCAGATGAGATAATGTGTAAATCTTCTAGTTTTGCATTCACCAATTAGATGTCCTACAGGCATATAGTGAGTGCTCAACAAATTCATTTATTTAAGAAACTTTAATTGAGCATATATCATGTGCCGAAGATTGCATTAGGCATGAAGATACAAAATTAAATAAGGTCACTGAGCTTATCGTCTAGAGTAGCAGACAGGCAAATAAATACACTACAATGGGATAAGTGTTATGCACACAGAGGGAGAGTTTTCAAATTAGATCAGAGATCTGGGGATGTTTCCAAAAGAGGTGATGCTTGAGCTGAATTTGGATGCTACAGATAGAAGACAGAAGAGGGTTAAATGCATTTTAAGCTGAGAAAAAAAGCATAGGTAAATGACAGAAGTCTGTAATCTTGTGACCTGCTTAATACCCACAGTAGTTTCATATAGATAGAGCCAAAGGTGCATACGAGCTGTGGCAGGAGGGCAGGATGGCGAGGGGTGGGTGTTGGAAAGGTCAACGGAAAGTCAGAAATCACATCATGAAAAGCTTTATGCGCTAAAGAAAGAACTGTTATCCTGAAAGTTATGGAATTTTAAGTAGAGACCTGAACAAATAGCTCTGTGTCTAGAAATATCCTGGCCTCAGTAGAGAGGGTCAGACTGAGACAGGAAAACTGGTTAGGAGGTTTTGTTGCAGCAAATGAGGAAAGCAGATCTGAGGTCCTGAACAGTGCCGGTGGGAATGGAGAGCAAAGAGCATACAGTTGAGGGGAAGAATACTCAGGGCATGAGTGCCATTGCCACCATGGTGGAGGGGGGCAGGGAAGAGAGAGAGGGATAGAATCTTCCGCAGGTGACCAGAATGGGCTGCTCAGTGCATGGTGCAGCTTTTTAATGACCTGGAATGGAAGCTGACATCTCATGCTCACTGACTTTTCCCCAGTGCCTGGCACAGGGCTTAACTGTTGAACAAATAGGTTGTTCTCAAGCAGAGGAAGAAGAGCAGCTTTGGGCAGGGAAGATGATGAGTTCATTTTGGCTCTGTTGAGTTCTGAGGGACCCACGGGATGTCGTAGTAGGCATATATACCTACTATGATATATATATACACACCCACATATATATGTATATATATGGAAAAAGAGGCAGAGAGGTTTGAGGCTTGGACCCATCAGAGATAGATGGCAGGTAAAGCTGTTGTGGATTGGGTCATGTAGAGAAAACAGATAGATTGAGAAAAGCCCTGAAGATCATCAGCATTTAAAAGGTGATCTGAGGCGCCTGGGTGGCTCAGTCGTTAAGTGTCTGCCTTCAGCTCAGGTCATGATCCCAGGGTCCTGGGGTCGAGCCCCGCATCGGGCTCCCTGCTCAGCAGAAGGCCTGCTTCTCCCTTTCCCACTCCCCCTGCTTGTGTTCCCTCTCTCGCTGTGCCTCTTTCTGTCAAATAAATAAATAAAATCTTAAAAAAAAAAAAAAAAGGTGATCTGAGAGGGGCACTGGGTGGCTCAGTCGTTCAAGCATCTGCCTTCGGCTCAGGTCACAATCCTAGAGTCCTGCGACGGAGCCTCACGTGGGGCTCCCTGCTCAGCGGGGAGCCTGCTTCTCCCTCTCCCTCTCCCCCTGCTCATGTTCTCTCTCTCTCAAATAAGTAAATCTTTAAAAAATGTGATCAGAGAGAAGGATCTTACCAGGGAACTGAAGTAGGAGAGCAATGAGAACAAAGCTGCGGAAACCTAGGGCAGAGGAGCTTGAAGGAGGTGGTGCATGGGAACTTGCTGCAGACATAGCTCGTCTTAAGTTATCCTCTAAAACACAATTGCTTTTTGTTTCTTCCTCAGCAAAAAAGGGAAACATATTCTCGTGATAGGGGTAGTTTTCTATATTGAAGTTTTTTCCAGAAAATTAATGTGATCTATAAATATTGTCAAATGAAATGTGCGTTTCCTTTGAGAATGCCCAAGTGTATCACTGCATGTAAGAATTAGTTGGCAGAAATTTAGACAACTCTTCCAAGAGCTCCTGTCAGAATTTAGAAACCCTTCTTTCTGCGGGCTTTCCGGAACCATCTACCATATCACTGCTAACTGATATCCACAAGCAACCAATTATAAAGTACCTGTTCATATAACCACACCCACAAAAACAACAACAAAACATTCACAATGGCTTCATGTAGTAGCAAGATGATGACCAAAGATCAAGACAAAATTGTCAGGCTCTTTTCAGAGGGATAGGTCTTTCTGGAATGCCACTGACTGCTAACTTTAAGTGCATAATGGCAGGAAGCATTTTCTGTATTGCCATTTCCCTGTTAGTTTTCCGTTTCTTAGAATCAAAATATAAAAGACTAATGGAATTTGGGCAAGGGAATCAATCAATGGAGCCCTCTATCTGTGAGTACTTAAAGATGGATGAAAGAAGGTACATGAAAAAAAATTATGGTAATGGGCCTTCAGAAGAGTGGCACATTGCAGAGTGAATTTTTGTCGAAGAAGGGAGATCTGCATGAGAAGGGGAGCTGGAGCATTTTCTGGCCTCTGCTGCAAACAACAGGGTGTCTGTCCACAAGGTCAGGCACAGTTTTTATCCCTGCACTAAGCAGGATGCCAGGCACATAGTAGGTACTCCATAACTATTTGTTGAATTTGAATAATAGGTACTTTTATTATCCCATTTAAAAAAAATTTTTTTTTTGAATAGGTTCTACGTCCAGTGTGGAGCCCAACTCGGGGCTTGAACTCATGATCCTGAGATCAAGACCTGAGCTGAGATCAAGAGTCGGAAGTTTAAGTGACCTAGCCACCCAGGTGCCCCTATTACACCTTTTTAAAGACAAAGTTACTAATAATACAGTGACATCTTTTGTGATGTTTCTACACACAAAATAGATTTTGGGAAACACTAATAGATTGAGAATTGTAAAGTACCCTCAAATACGAAGGAAATTGGCATTAGGGAAGTTTTCTGAGTCCAGCTGAGGAAATAATTGTGTTTTCTAAATAGAATGTCTCTAGCGATCATTGTATCTGATACAAAGAGAGGCCCTATTGTCAGACCTTCCAAACTACAATGCACAGATCAAGTCAACTCTTTCTGAGTGCTTTTCCGTTTGCATGAATGGCACCAAGTAAAGTGAAAAACCATCCACAAACTGGAAGAACTGTGTTGCTCAGCACAGTTCGGCAATTACACTGCTCTAGACTTCTGTGATCTGAGATTTAAAGAGTGAAATATAGATGGGGGTAACACTGCTATCCTGTTGTATTAGACTACAGGTAGAATTTTTTGGAAAGGTGATTTCAAATATTTTGAGCACCTATTTTATTAAAAGATTTTTCTTAGAAGATGCAATCTGGGAATCTGCCGAGCATAGTCTTTTCAAGACGCGGGGACAGCCTCTGGCTTCAGGCTCTGTCCTGCCTACATCTTAGGAGAAGAGAACTGATGTGGGTTTGGAAACACACCCATTAAATGAGGAAATAGACCTCCGAATGAAAGGGGGGAGAAATGTATCTCAATCTGGACAGACCCTAAATTTTTCACTCTCTGGGGAGAAGAAAGAAAGCAGCCTCAGAGGAACATGTTGGTAGCAAGAGCCGCCGCAAAGAAATGAAATGGAGGTACGCTTCTAAGGGCATCACAGGGTTTTCAAAGAGCTCGGAATTCTTTGAGGCTTCTCTTCTCAGGCCTTTTTTTTCCTGAAAACCAGTCTCTTTTATATGTTCCTGACACTGTGGTTTGAAAACATAACTTTCTTAGTTTTCTCTAAAGATAATGGCTTTCTGTTTTGAAAAGCTGCCTGCTCACATACTGAAAAGGGGAGACATTGGGAGCTTAAATTCAGTAGTTAGTTAATATTCCTGTTGTAACACCAATTTATATCATTTTAAAGAACATGAACACATTTGCAATTCTTATGCAGATAGATTATACTTAACTATATGGATATATAGATCAGAATGATTTTTATAATAGTCAAAGTATATGCAATATATTCTTAAACTACAGTGATTCTCCATATGCAAAGGATTTTAAAACATATCTTTTTCTGCTATTTAAACATGTTCTTGATCTTAAAAAAATTCCAGGCAATGTTTCATTTTTTACCCTTTCCATAGCCTTCATATGTTCTTATTCATCTTTATTATACCCGGTGCCTAATCTAGTATCTGTCACATAATAGGTGTTTAATAAATATCTGTGGAATGAATGAAGGCCCTGAAAGTTCATTTAGTATTTCCGAGTTCCTTGTTCTTGGTAATACGCTCCTTAAGAAGCCTAGCTTTTTATTTTTCCAAAGTAATAGGCATTTAAGAGTTGGGTAGGATACCCAAGAGCCTGATCGAGAAAAGTCTGGAAGATAATGGAGTTCAGATTACATGCAATTTTGTGGAGTCTGGGTGATAACCAAAGAGAAGGCATTTCCATTTCTTGCCTACTGAACTCTGAGGGAAATAACAATAGAGATGTAAGTTGAATTGGCAGAGATCTCACCCCAAGAGAATATAAGAGCCAGAGAAAATGCCAGCGAAGACCAGTTACCTTAGCTCTAGAGATTAACCCGCTCCCTCGATCAGCAACTATTTATGGAGCGCCTACTCTGCCCAGAAAACTGAGGAAGGTGCAAAGGATGCAAAGCCCCTTCTTGATGCTTGCCCAGTTGTGGTGTGGGGTGGATTTAGACAACGCCTACCTCCGCAGAGCAGCCCTTTGTGCCTCACGCAGGAGAAGTTGTCGCATTGGCAGTAAGGCCCATAAATGTTTCCATAGGGAGACAAGTGGCAGATGCACTGCCCACAGTAGCAGTCGCCTCTCCCACTGCACGAGGGGTGATCTGGGGCCTCCTTGCAGGAGTCTGTGCTCAGTGTGTCCTCCCCACACTCGCAGCGAGGACCCATGTGGCCGGGGTTGCAGGCACACACCCCACACTGGAAGGAACCGTTCCCGTTGTGGCATTTGGAGCTGTTCACTTGCACCTCTTTCTGACAAGCACAGCTGCATTCCGGACGGACAAGTATTTCTAGGGCGTCCCCCAGCCCCACAGGCTTTATGGTAATATGCCTGCTTCTTCTCTCACAGTTTGGTATACTCACAGTCACATTAAATGAAGCCTGGAAAAGAAAATACTAATTATCTTCCATCCACCGAAATGCATAGCAGGAAACCAAGGTGCATGGGGATCAGCTTTGCCAAAAGCACTTATTAGGGAATTTTTAAAAATTGTTTTTGAAATTCTTGAAAGGAAAAATCCAGCTTCAATGCAACAAGGGAACTTCTGACTTACCTGAATATTTTTTCAGACGATCTGTTGACCCTATACTTACTGTGTCTCCCACCTTCATGTGAGAGCATTTCTTCTGGTGTGGGAAGGGGGCCCTGTTGTTACAGATAGCCGTGAAAGATAGGTTGAGTCCTTCTGTGTCTCCTAACACTTCCAGTTCCACCTCCGACCGCAGTTCCTTTAGTTAGGACAGAAAGAGTTAAAAACACAACCAAAAAATACAACCAGAAGAATCTGTGAATCCTGTTCATTAAACTACAAATGAACAAAATGAAATTGAGCCTAAAAGAAATTCACTATACCATCAACCAAGCAAGAAAGCCAGCAAGACACACACACATGCGTGCACACACACATACACGCACGCGCACACACACGTACACACGTACACGCACGCACACACATGCACGCACACATACGTGCACATATACGTGTCACCTTTTATTGAGTCTAAGAGGCTATCAATTATAAAACACAATTATTTTATGACAATGACATTATGACAAAATATCTCATGATCATTCTGTGCAACATATCAAGCAATCCTATTAGTCCATCATGGCTTTGAAAATTATTTTATCCATTCTGAGGGATGTGGCAAATTCTCCAGCCCTGAGTAGCACTGCTTGGCATCTAAAAGGCATTTTTTTGCTTGTGTCTCAGTAACACAACATAACAACAGCTTCCTTTACTTGTAAGTATCATCATTTCTTAGGCCCCATAAAGCAGCTGGTTGTTGCTTTGCGAGGAATATCGAATCACAGTCATTCCTTCAACAATGAGCATTTGCTTCATTGATATCAAATTTATACCCTGTTTTGGTACATTGCTGCATATACAACAATATTTCATTTCAATATCAAATCATAGTGCAAACTTTAAGAAAATATTTAAAAATGGCAATTACGCTCAACACCTATAACACCAATAGTGTACTTAACAAATTGAGGTGACAACAACATACACAGTTAGGGCCGATTTTATATTTTTGCAGGCAATGAATACTACATTGTGACTTCTACCCAGCATTTATTAGACACCATTAATCACAAAACATATCCCAATTTTAGAGATGTTAAATGTGGGAGAAACTGTTCCTCGAAATCACTATTGGAATTTATTATGTACCTATTGTACATTTAATGTAGAGTCAGGTCTGGGGAATGAGTGTAAGATAGGATTTCTGCCCTCAAGATGATTATCATTTTGCTGGAAAAAAAAAAACGCAAGATGGAACCAAGTAAAGCAGTTAACATGCAAGTCAATCAAAGTGCCATTAAGTTTAAAAAAATAGTGTCCTATAGATGCAGGTTTGGGACAGTTCAGAAAAGAGTGGTCAGTGAAGGCTGAAGTATTAGAAGTCCTTAATGGCTATGTCGGATGTGGATGTGTGGACAGAATGACAACTGTGTCTCAGGGGAGGGGACCAGGAGAGAGAAAGATCAGTGCCAAGAGCGTATAGAATGGGGACAAATGGGACTCAGACCCAGCCCAGACTCCTGCTGTCCTGGGAGATACCAGACAGCAAAGAGCCTTGAGGTTTAGAGAGATGACTTAAGACCTGTGGGAAATATTCCTTATAGCTTTAAAGCAGGAGCCCAATCCGCTGAAAGTATAGCTGCAGGGAAGTTGTCTGGGCGGTGTGTGCAGGACAGACTTACGGTCTGTCAGACTTACAGGGGAGGGGGCAGGGAGACTGGAGTCAAGAAAGCTGGGATGTTGTATTCACCCCAGCCTGAGGTACGAGGATCAGGACCCGGGGGGGTTGGTAAATGTGATGACGTAGATTGAAGAGAGAAAGACTAGATGTGAAACATATAGATTATGACAGAGTGGAGATAAAGACAAAGTTTTCCAGGGGGAAGAATGTCAGGGAAGGAGGAAGAAAGAGCTATTTGTTATGGGGAAATCTAGTGTTATCATGTACACTTTCTCTGTTCCTCTTTCTTTTGCAAAATAAAAATCTACATTTGGAGGACAAAACAAAACTATGAAAATAAAAGCAATAAAACAGAATAAAAATAAATTGTAAAACATTATGAGTTAAGTAATACTTCAGCTCATCTAAGAAGATTTGAGTCCCTATACTCCTGGAATTTTAAAAGCATATTCAACCTCAAATTTTCCTTAAGTATAATTTTTCCAACTGCCTGGTAAGATGACCCTGTCTTCCTCCAAATTCTAAGTTGCTGACTGTAAATTCTAAGTCATTCTTCTTCCCTACTTTTATATTTGCCCCATATCGTCACTCCTTCAGAAGATGGACATAAGGCTGATTTTTCAGAATACGGTCTTCATCAGCGATTGGAGTGTCATTTCTCAGTCACAAAGATTATTTCTATAATGTATTAAAATTTACTCTTTAAATCTGTTTCATTTCAACTAGTTATGTGATAAGTTTATTCATCCAGAAAATATTTATTGACTGTCCATGATGTGCCAGACACTGTTCTAGGGGCTTGGGAAGCAAAACCCACTAAACTAGCTGACTTTTGTAGTTTATATTCCAGTGTGGGAAGTCAGAGAGGAAACAACATAATACATAAGAAAATTATGTAGCATGCTAGAAGGTGATAAGTGCCATGCAAAACATTAGGGTAGGATAATGAAGATTAAGAGAGTGTGGGTAGGGGGTGTAGTCTGTAATTTTTCAAAAGGTAGTTAGAGTAGGATTCAGTAAGGTGACATTTCACGGAGGTGAGGAATCAGATAGCATGTAGATATCTGTCAAAAGAGTGTTCCAGGAAAGGGGTACAGTCAGTGCAAAGGCCCTGAGGCAGGAGTGTGTCTGGCTTGCTCTGGGAACAGAATAGCAAGGAGGCCAGAGTTGCTGTACTGGATTAACTCTCTGATGGAGTAATAGGAGGGGAAGTCACAGAGGTAATGGGGTGGAGGAGAACAAATCTGGTAGGGTCCTAGTAGGTGGTTTTAAAGAATGTGGCATTTACTCTATGTAAAAGGAGAAAACAATTAAGGTTATCTATAGAAGAGTGTTATGACCTGACTTAATATTTTTAAAGGAAAATTCTAGTTTTTTTTTTTTTTTTTTTTTTTAAAACAGAATGTAGGAAACCAAAGGTGGAAATGAGAAATAGCATTTAGGAGGCTTTTGCATTCAGGTGAGTGAAGGTGGTGGCTCCGATCAGGATGAAGGCAGTGGTTCTGGGTCAAATTCTAAATAATTTTGAAGATAGAGCCAGCAAGATTTTCTGATGGATTAAATGTTCAGGATAAGAGAAAGAGGAGAGTCAAAGATCATTATAAGCTTTTTGGCCCCAGCAATATGAAGGATAGGATTACCATTTAGAAGGAGAAAACTATTGGTGAATTATGTTTAGGAGAGTTCAGGTTACCCTTCTAAATTGCCAACTAATATATCACCTGACTCCTAGACATCTGCACTTTGATGTCTCCTAAAGAAGTATATATAGCATGGTTGCTGGGCAGCATTGAGGGCCCTCCTGAGGTCCATGATTATGAATTTAAAGTGAGACTGGTTAGCACAATTGTAGGTTTTTCCCTTTCCTGTTCAGCTGTGCAGGGTGAATGGACAGTTGGGATTAACCAGGGCCAGGATTGGCCAAGCAACCTCAGTGGAGCCATAAGGGGCATGGGAGGTGAGGGTGTGTCTCCAGAATGATCCTAATGGTTGAATTTAAGCCAGGAGCCCAGGCCCAAGAGGACATCAGGGGATGAGGAACTGAAAAGAAGATAGAGTCACTTGAATAAAAAAAGAGAGAGAGAGAGAGAGAGAGAGAGAGAGGGTAAGGTCAACTAATTGGAGATCCTAATGGGTTGGAAGAAATACTAGGGAAACTAGCAGGAGTGAGCTGGAAAGGAAGGAAGTGGTGAGAGGGAATGGGTTGCATGAAGCTGAGATTATAGAGGAGTCTATCAGCAATGACAAAGTTTAAGGTATGACAAAAGAGGGGGACAAGATCATTTTAGAAACAGAGTTCAAGAAACAGAGGCCAGGGTACAGGAAGGAATATATGTACACTGAAACTGAAATCATCAGGAGGTAAAGCAGGAGTAGTGTTAGAGACGGTGGCTTGGTGAGTCAGGAGTAAAGGAGAAATGAAGGATATGACCCCAAGACTGTAGATTTGAAATTCGGAAGAGTGGGTGACATAATCTGACCAAAATAAGGGAAATCTCAGCATTGATAAATTGGAATATCATACTGTAGATTTTGCCAGGAATATTTTAATGTGAATTTCCCTAAGAAAGAGCATAACTGCTTTTTGTATATTTCTCAAATCATTCACTCATTTATACTGAGCATCTACTATGAACCAGGCAAAACAAAACAAACCACGTCACTTGCCTTCTGGAGCTTAAATGCTAAGAGGGGAGTGTATCCTCGGGAGCACTGATATTTCAGTAGCTTTTATTACATGTTTAAGGAAGGAAGAAAATTAGTGAATAATGGTCAAACGAATACACATCTGGTATTTAAGGGTTTTTATGTCAATATGACACTGAACTGAAGTTCAGTGTCATAATTATAGACACAAATTATCTGCCTCTGCCCCACCAGAAGTTAGTCAGAAGTATTTTCTCTCAATCTATTCTTTTTCTTTTCTTTTTATAGACTAGAAAGAAACCCAGTCAATGGATTCCCATATTTTACTTTTTATTTTATCTTTAATTTTTTAATTATTTTTTATTTTTTTTAAGATTTTATTTATTTATTTGACAGAGAGAGAGAGAGAGAGCACAAGCAGGGGGAGCGGCAGGCAAAGGGAGAAGGAGAAGCAGGCTCCTGGAGGAGCGGAGAGCCCAATGAGGGGCTCCATTCCAGGACCCTGGGCTCAAGACCTGAGCCAAAGGCAATCGCTTAACCAACTGAGCCACCCAGACGCCCCTATTTTATTTTATAGAGGGGTGGGGCAGAGGGAGAGAGAGAATCCCAAGCAGCCTCCTCACCCAGTGTGGAGCCAGACATGGGGCTTGATCTCACAACCCCAAGATCATGACTTGAGCTGAGAACAAGAGTTGGTCACTTAACTGACTGAGCCTCCCAGGTGCCCCTGGATCCCCATACTTTTAAAGTCCTTTTAGAATACATTTAAAAATAACTGAATAGAAAAATAATTTGAACTAGTGCCAAGATCTATTACACACTTCCTTCAGTGAATCATGATATTATAATAATAACTCCAGAGCAAGATTATATAGTATAAGAATAAGAGACACTTCTTTATATTTTTGGACAGTAAAATAAGGACATGAGATTCACTTCAAATGTTTGATGCCTTGATTCTTCCACCTCATAAGTTATGTGGGTGATTTGGGACCACAAAGTGAGACAGAAATCCTGACAGAGTAAGCAGGAGCATGGAAGGGGCTGGTCAAACAAGAGGGAGAAATGTTTTTGACGTTTACAGTTTTCTAATTTGCTGAATTCCTTTGAAGATGTTAGTGCCCAACGCTTCTGAGAGTGCTGGGTTAAAGAAAATTGAGTGTTTTCTAATGCAGTGGAGGATTGCTGTGTGATTTTATCTGATTCTACACATTAAAACTTTAATTACCGCATAAGAAGGAGGATGGTTTTTAAAGTATTTTGTTGACAAGCTTTCCTGTCTGGAAGAATTTCAAGCATGAGATAATGTGTTAGTTAATTTTTGATGTGAGCTAAGAAAACTGAAGTTTCTGAGGATATAAGTTCAAAAAAAACCCTCATCCTATAGTTTTAATGGACACATCTGTTATTTTATTCCCTGAGGAAATGTATTTGAGAAGAAACACCTTGTTTTTCCCCCTTAAAGTGAGTTTCAAAACTGGTGGGGTGTTGTCAAAATCACTGGGGAGTATTTTTTCAAAATGTGTAGCTCTTCCTTCCCTTAAAATTTCTCCTAAGATGTCTGAGAGGAATCTGGATACACCTATTTTTAAAAGCTTCCCAGATGATTCTGAAATGTTTAGTTAAGGACCACTGGCTCAGTATCTGCTTAGTAAGCATATAGTGCATATAAGTCATTTATTTGTAATTTTAAAACATCCAAAATTAGAATTTTATTTATTTGTCCCTATGTAACTGCTGCTTAGAATAACTATTAGGGCTTTACTGCTTTATAAAAATTTACTTTTTTCATTCCTGTCCTAATTTAGAGCTTCATTTTCATCTTTGTGCGTGTGCATATGCGTGCGTGTATGTATTTTTTCTTTGTAAGTTAAGGCAAAAAAGGAAAATGGAACTTAGGAAACAAAATAAAAAAAGAATTGGTAACTGGCCATCTACCATTGATTAAGTTATGAAATGGGGACAAAGCAAGAGAACATAGCAACCCTATAGCTATGTATTTTATTTTAGGGGAGGAATGCTGTCCTCTGGTACTAATTTACAAAGTCAAGGCAAAAAAAAATTATGTCTATGTGTATATATATATATATGTATATATGTCTTTCTATATATGTATATATCCATAAAAATGAAAAATTCCTTGGTTCTCAAAAGCAGAGAATCTACAAAGAGGTGCTCCTGATATGCTTTGGTGTCTTTTTTCTCTTTGAGTTATGAGGTAGTCTTATTAAGCTTGTGGAGTTAGTTCTCCACATAGTTCTGTTGCTCACTGGTATTTTATTTTATTTTTTTAAGATCTATTTATTTATTTATTTGACAGAGAGAGACACAATGAGAGAGGAAACACAAGCAGGGGGAGTGGGAGAGGGAGAAGCAGGCTTCCCGCAGAACAGGCAGCCCGATGCGGGGCTCGATCCCAGGACCCTGGGATCATGACCTGAGCCGAAGGCAGACGCTTAATGACTGAGCCACCCAGGCGCCCCTTCTGTTACTCACTGGTATTTTAAACTTATTTTTTTTTCAGGCAGAGAAGAGGGGAGCTTAATTGTAGGGCTCATGGAGCCTGTTCAATAGAATTAAAATTTTACTATTGGTTATTATTATAAAAATAACCTCAACTTTATGATCAGGTTATGATTTTTCTACCTTGGGCCTCACCTTTCAGGAAGAATATCTACCAATAAGGAGAACAAAATTGATATTTTGGCTGCATTAGTGCAGAGAGATTTTCTTTGGATAAGTACTCTCTCCACTAACAAATCCTAGTGCATTTAACTGCCTAAAACACATCTTCGTTTTTGAATACCACCAAAATGCAAAAAAAAAAAAACAACAACAACAAAAACAAGAAGCCAACTGTAAAATATCATACTTCATAAGCCGAGATGATCAGCTGGAGAATGTTTCCGGAGTCCTTCTGAAGTAGCCCTACTGTAGCTCCAGGAATGAGTTTTGCATAATTCTGTAAACAAAAAAGAATAAGTCAATCTGCTCCCTGTAATCAAGAAAAGTTAAGTGTGGGTTTCAGCCTGTTGGTTGAGATCTCTTCTATTTAACTGGCTGGGGGAAATAGGATCCTGGTAATAAACCAGTGTTTCTCCTGAAACCGTGGCCCTGCCTGGGGCTCCTTCCTGTGCCCAAGTGGGAAGTGGACTGGTCAGAGTTGCCACTGGGGGCATCAAGTGTGTGTGGTTGCCTTACTCTAGAGCTGTGATTTATATCATAACTGGACTCAAGTCTTAAATAATAATAATAGCACTTATATACCGTCTTCCATTTGCAGAGCATCTTTTGTCCAAAAACTTCTGAGCATACTAACCAGGAGCTATCTTTTCTTTTTTGTAATGGTTACAGAAACCCAGGTCCCACATTGGCCCCTCTCTGCCACCAGATTGCTCTGCAAGTCATTCAGCCCAGGGCTCTCAGTCGTCAATTGCTTGGTGGAGAAAAGGAGTGAGTTATTTGGATGTTTGCCGTTAATCCTCTTTCCTAGTGGTAATGAGCACTCGTTTAGGGATGTCACCATGGTGCTGGGGTTGATTAGAATTGATCTCCACTCATCACGATGGAGTCAGTCAGAACCTATCTCTAAACCATCTGCATTCTCCACTTACCTCCTTTTCCGAGATGTCGTTCCCACCCACCTGCAGAGAACTCACGTTAGTTCAGCAACATTCCAGGCATGAGGCATGACCAGGGAATGAGGCATTGCAAAGAAGGGAATTTTCCAGACTGCTGAAAATTACCCCTACCTTAAGTTTTGTGTCTTAAAACTTATTTTGAAAAGTTTTCTTAAGTGTATGGTATATACCTCTGTCTTCTTAAATAAAGATTCCCAAGCACACTTGGATTGTTTTCTTGAAGAAACAGTCATACTTATCAATATTAACTATAGCTCTATAATCGTCAAAGACTTCTAAAATCCACGGGTAGATCACATTCATACCAAGGGGACCCCAACTGCTATGCTTTTGCTTCTTTTATTTGTTTTTAAATAGTTTCTATCTTCTTGTTAAGCTGGAAAGTATCACTCACCTACCAATTTTCTCATTTATCCATTTACTGTTGCATTCAACACCTATTAGGCAGATTTAGTATGCTGTGCTATATCAAGAAGAGACCATCACTCTTTTTTGTCAGCTGTGGTCTTCTGAGTTGCTTTGTGTAATGAAATCAGATGACTGAATTTATTAAAATGTCATGTAGAAAGAGAAATAAGTTTTGAGTGAAGGATTTAGGGTACCTCCTCTGGTTTGAACATAATGATATTCTGTCTTATTCCCAAGAACATTTAAGTAGCTTAGGAGATATACAAAACTAAGTTAGAATTAATAGTAATTACTGATTATAATTGTGATACTAGATAAATAGATCAGGTCAAGGGGAGCCAAGGAGAGGAACAAATGAATCCAGGGTGACATTAGAACACAAACATGTTCTAGGAGGTCGCAGGCATCTGCTAGAGGTGGGTAACTGGGGTAAGTCCAAGGTTTCTACAACTCTCATATGGAAAAATGGGTGCTGCTTTTAATTGGTGGGTTTTGTAATATTCCACTTATTTCAGTGTTTATGATTGTGTTTAAGTTTGAAGTTGATGGAAATCTGAACTCTTACAAGTGTCAGTTGTCACTCTGCCTTGACACTGCATTTGATTTTTGAAGGGGTCATGGACAGTAATCCAAGTAGCATTCCTCCCATTACCCAGTGCCCCACATCACCGCCTATAGAAGGTGGGCCCACTCTGTTTCCCTAAGTCAGGTAGAACTTGTCAAATATGAGGAAGGCACTGGTTCATTGACTTACCTTTTCAAATAAACACATGTCAAAAGGGCCATGAAGCATGAGACACGTGGTTAACAGCGAATACTTAAATAAGAATTTGAATCTCACTCAAGTGGAGCTGGAATGTGTGTAAATTTGACTGGTCCCAAAGGAGAAGGCAAAGGGAAACTTTAAAGCTTGATGAAGAAAGGTTTGGATCTTTTTGAAGAAGAATTTCATGGCTCTTAGCTTTGCATAAAACTGCTAGCCTTGAAAAATGTCCTGGTTTCTCCAAGGCCAAGGTATAAGGGGTACTTTCCATAAGCACTAGCTCAAGTGGCCTCGGAATTTTGGGTTAATCCTTGGTTAACACAGCTAAATACATCTACTTCCTAGAGCATAATTATGATCCTGCATGTGGTATGACATTTGGCATTTGGCTATCAGGACAAGTGGTTTAACATTAATCGCCTTTGCTGATTGCTACTAGAGCGAGGGTATAAAGGAGTTGGCAGCTAGGAACAGTACTCTGTGATAACTCTGACAATTGTGTAGAGGAAAACTATTAATTAATTTCTGGATGCTGATTCCTCCCCAAAGCATTGCAAATAATTAACTAAAAACATGGACAATTTGGCTTCCTGACCTAACACTGTAAAAAATTATGCTTTAAGTCTTGTAGTATTATGATTACTGTAAATATCATGTGTCAAATGCCTTTCTTTCATTAAAACCCTAATGTGCTATTATAAATTGTCCTGATTAAACATATTTAATGTTAGAAAAAGGATGATTTTGCATGCCTGGATGTGATAAATTATAGCACTGCGACTGTAAAAGATAACTCTTGGACATCAGAAATGGTGAACTCTAAAGACACAATGCTTCATGAGCTAATTAGAAATGCCAACTCCTTGGGCTTGAGTTTCTTGGACTTGAATTCCCTGTTATCTGCCCAGGGATGATCCTAATTATGGATTTTTCTCCCTCTCCTGCCACCATGCCACCCAGGAGTTCCCGCAGTTGCTTTTCTCACTCATGTTCGCAAAGTCGGTTTTTTTTTTGATTGCCTTAGTTTTCCTAACTTCCTTCATCAAAACCTATTTATTTCCTCACTATGATCCCATCTCAAAAAAGATTTCTTATTTGTCCAACAGTCTGCATTTCCTCCTTAGAAATTTCCTGTTGTTAAGGAAGGAGGATAAGAACAGGACAGGGGGTCATTTAGTTGGCAGGCAACAAAGGATAGAGAGGAAAGTGCCTGAATTCACACCTGTGCTCCGGGCTCCTCTCAGGGAATGTCTCCAAAGTCAGGGCCTCTTGGTGTCAGGCTGTTAGAACCAGCTGTCAGGTGTCTACTCCGGCTTGGTTGAGGGCAGAGGAACCTGCAGAGGCACACCAGCCACCTCAGCTATCCACGGACAGACTACTGGTTGGCGTTTCCTTCAAAGTGACTCAGATTAAGGACCGTGGCAGATATTTGGCTGCTTTTGGTGCTAGAAGGGACATTCCCGATGTGACCTGCATTCTTGCTTTGACTGCACTTCCTGTTGGGTTCACTCATCTCCAGGTTTAGGCTCTGCACCATGGTTCAGTATTAACTGTATCCTTGCTGGACATCTTGATTGGGTTTCTGCCTTAGATGGTTACTCTCCTGGATCCTTCTGTCCTACTGTTGTGACATTTCTGCTGTGGTCTCAAAGACTCTTCACCACCTGAGACTCAGTAGCCACCATTTTATACAGACCAGTCTACTCACGCCCCTCATCAGAGGGCGGAGAGGTTGACTTGCCATATATCTGCTAGCAGCATTTTAACAAAGAATTTGTAAAACCAACCTACAGCTTCTCTTTAGGCTCTATGCTTGCTTAACTCTTTCTGCAAAGCTTCATTAATATGGAGGGACCGTTTATTTTCAATATTATATTATTAATCAACATCAGTATTTCTGGTCTTAAACTGTATTACTAAATGTTTTTTGTTTGCTAAAATACATTAGTCAAAGTTTGGCTTGTATAGATTGAGAACCTATGATGTTATATAATATGTCCACAAATATTTTCTCTAATATCTCACCATATGTGTGTGTGTGTGTGTGTGTGTGTGTGTGTGTATAGTCATTACCTTGTATATCTTCAATAGTAGCTCCTATTTGTCCATTTTCTCTCTTTTTTTCTTTAATGGCAGTATAACACATATGCAGGGCATACAAGTAATAAGCATACAGCTCAATGAATATTTAAAAAGTAAACAAGCAAGTGTAATCACACCAAGATAAAAAAAATAGAGCATAATCAGCTCCCTGAAATCCTCCCTTGTACTGCTTCCCAGTCATCACCCTCCCTTAAAAGACAAAACACTGTTCTGACTTTTATTACTGTAGAAGTCAGGGGAGATAACTTCATTGCCCAAAGGATAAAAAAAAGGGCTTAGGTAGGACACAAAAGCACTATCTATATAAAGGAAAAGATTGATAAATAGGACTTAAAAGTAGGGATTTCTGTTTTGAAAAGACGCCTTTAAGAGAGTGAAGAGGAGCCCTTGAGTGGGAAAAAATATCTGTAATACATGCATCTGATTTGGCACCAGAATATCTAAACAACTCCTACATATCAACAAGGAAAAGACATCTGGAAAAAAAAAAAAAAAGGATATTTAACTGGCAAAAGACTATGGCAAAAGTGTTCAGCATCATTAATCATTAGAGAAATAGAAATTAAAGCCACAATGAGGTGCCAGGGTGCACCCACTAGAATGGCTAAACTGTAAAGGAACTGATGATGTTCTCAAGTACTTGCAGGGGGCGTCTACACTGGGACGACTACTTTGGAGAACTGGCAGTAGCTGCCAATGTTGAACATGAGCACGGCCGATGGCTCTGCCTTCCCATTCCCAGGTTTGATCACACTACGGAGCTGAACCCACGATGTGTGACTTCTCTGAGACAAACAAGTGTGTAGAGAGGCATTCATTCTTGTCAAGAGGGTGCTTCTGGTAAACAAGATGTCACCTAAGTTAGAGAAAGTACAGATAATTCTTAAAGGGTCTTAGATCTTTCAGGTGTTTGGCCATACGGAGTAATCAGTTCTTCCCTGGATCCCTTCTACCTGGGGATGGACCCAGGGGAGCTATACACTGGCAAACTCCTCAGCACTCACAGCATAGCCTGCTTTTTCTGTATCTCTCTCCATCCTCAGGAGC